GTACATTAGTCCTTTTCGTGATGAAATCACTTTGTAAGCAGTGAATTTGTGCAAAAATGAACGAATTTTCATCTTTTGTTACGGCAAACAGCTTTTCAGCTTCCTATTTTTGTAGAAGAGGTTTTGGTGCCTTCCGACCCTTCCCATGGCTCAGGTTGTAAAAGCTAGGAGTGCGGGTGAGTCAGTTCTGATCATGCTAGTGAGCAAGGAGGTCATAGTCGCTGGGGCGTGGGTTTCCCGCAGTCCTACCAGTTGTACTCAGACTTTGTTCCTGAGATTCTAGCCCTTAGGACTTGCCGTGAGAAAAAGAGGGAAGACTTAGAGAATGTTTGCAAAGGTGACACAGAGAGTGTTTTGTCAGATAAATGTACTTATATCAGCCCCCGAGTGAGGTCCGACACCCTGCAACTTGCAGGGGTCGGATTTCACTAAGACCAAGGATTTTTGAAGTAAAAGACTGATAAGAAAAGTATGTGTTTATTTAAGGGTAAAAACAACATAGCTGCTCAATGATCCAGGTGTTGGTGAAGACCTCGTTGTTGATGGTTTTCAACTTGTAGGCGCCTTCCCCTGCTCCCCTTTGTTGGCGCTTCCGGCCAAGAACTTCCGCATGAGGCCGCAGTCCTTGAGCAGATGTTTTATGGGAAAGCCGTGGTTCGGGCACAGCCCTTCGAGCATTTTTTCGAAGTGATTCATAGTGCCCTCCATGGGCTTCCAACTACCCTTACGGTCGGCGGCAGACATGAGCGAGTCCTCATGCTGTTGCTTCTTATTCTTCCTTTTGGCGGAACGATTAGAGGTGCCTTCGCTAGTACCCTCATCCCGCCTTGCCTTGCCTTCGAGGTGATCGAAGATCGCTCCGACCGCCTCTTCGCCTAAGGCGTGGCTGGTGGCGATGTCCAAGAGTTCCTTAGTGGTTCATGGGCCCTTGCATCCTTGCTTATGAACCAAGGATTCACAAGTCATCCCAGACATGAAGGCTCCTATCATGTCGGTGTCGGCGACGTTAGGGAGCTCGTTGCACTGCCGGGAGAAGCGTTAGATGTACCCATGGAGGGTCTCACCAGCCTTCTGACGGAAGTTCTTGAGGTCTCATGGGTTCCTAGGGCATTTGTACGTGCCCTAGAAGTTCCCCACAAAGATCTCCTTTAGATCCGCCCAACTCTGGATTGTGTTGGATGGCAGGTGTTCCAACCATGCTCGGGCCGAATCGGCCAAGAACAATGGAAGGTTGCGGATAATGAAGTCATCATTATCTGCACCACTGGCTTGACAGGCGAGCCGATAGTCCTCAAGCCAAAGTCTGGGGTTTGTCTCCCTAGTGTATTTAGGGATGCTTGTAGGTGGTCGATACCTTGGCGGGAATGCAGCATTGAGGATGTGCCGGCTGAAGGCCTGAGGGCCTGGCAGGCCGGGGCTCGGGCCCCAGTCCTCGCCGCTGTCGTAGCATCCACCACGTTGAGGATGATAGCCGCAGCGGGCTCCTTCCCTCGGGTCGCTGTGGGTGCGTCTGCGGGCGTCGAGGGTGCTGCGTGCGTCGCGGTTGTGGCCGAGACGTTGATGTACCGGGATTGCAACGCGTTGCCCGCCGCCTTACGGCGCTTGGTGGACCAATGCGTCCCTGGCGGGGCGCACCGAGGGGGTACGCTGGCTGGCATTGGGCTCGCATCATCAAGATAGCGAGCTCTCCGCCTACTGCGCTGCCGCACGCTCAAGTAGCGTGCGAATCTCGAGGTGGACCTGACGATCCTCGGGCGTCGCGGCCTCTAGAAGGCCATGAAGTAGGGCCGTTGCGGCGGCAATGTTCTGGCTTGCCCGGATGAAGTGAGGAAGGGTTTCACCATTGGTGATGATCCTTCGGTTTACGTCGCAGGCCACGGCGCGCGCGTGCCCACCATCTCCGCGACGCTTGATCTCCTCGTTGACCTCCACGTACTCCCGAACAAGCTGTTGTCCGGCTTCGTCTATTTCCCACTTTTGGGCTCTCAGCTGCTCCACCCCTACATGAGGTGAGGCTGCTGCTCCCCCTTCGATTCCGTCGCCGAGGTTGCTTCTCGAGGTGACCTCCTTCTCAGAGGTGCTTTCAACATGTCCCTCGGAGGTTTCCGCCATGAAGCATTCCTGGGAGGGATGATGGCTCCCCCTACCGGAGTCAGAGCCAGAGTCCGACCCCGAACCTTCCGCAAGGAGGCCGTGGAGGGATTCTGTGATGCTTTTGATCATCCCCACGAACTCGTGGTTCGCGGGGGAAGGGATCACGCGCTGGGCCACAAGGTGGCTTACGGTCGCCGTGGCGTTGTAGAGACCGAACGGAAACACCATCGAGGCCTACCGTGTGGAGCGTTCCGGAGAGAGGGTGAGGCAGTGCGGGGCCTCCCTGGATGGCTGGGGTCCAAGGGAGACGCAGGGCTGGCACTCAAGCCTCTGGTAGCCAAAGCCGATGGAAGGGAGAGATTGGATGGTGAAACGGACCAATGCCAACTCTCCTCCCACCATGATGATGAAGTCCAGGTCACCGAAACATACGTGTGTGCCCGGGACCCAGCTGATTGCATTGTTAGCCATCCGAGGCCTGATTTGGAACGTACAAAGGCCCCTACCTGGCGCGCCAACTGTCGATGTTTCGAACAAACACCGGCTAGTAAATTTATAATTGGTGCGCATTAGGCCCGGATGGTGCACTAAAGGACACGAGGTTTATACTGGTTTGGGCTGAACGTCCCTACGTCCAGTCTGCTGCTACTCGTGTTATTAGTACTAAAAATGATTCGTAGTAGGGGGTACAAATGGTCGAGAGAGGGACGAGTCCCAAGTCTCTGATGGAATGGTCGATAGGTCGCCAAGAGCTTGGTCGCTGCTCAGCTGCGTGTGATGTGTGTCGTTTAATCATGTCGGCGGATCTCTCTTTGTGAGCTTGTTCATCCCTTTAGCGGGGTGCCCAACCCTCCCTTTTATAGACCAAGGGGGAGCAGGGGTTACATGTTGGAGAAAGGAGAAAAACCAGAGGCCAAGAAGCCCCTCCGAAGGTGTCGGGCCCTCCTTTTCCGCTGAGCCAGCCTCACTGATATGGCCAGACGGTGTCAGGGATTGGCACGTTCGATGGACGCCTGTGTGCTGATGATGCCATGCCCTTATCAGATTAGCAAATGGTCATGTCCCGTCCCGCCCCTCCGGGCGGCGTGTCGGACAAGGGTGTTGACCTGTAGCCCTGTGGGGAATGGACGGCGCGGTGACTGTACGTTCGTCACTATAGAGGGCGCGAGTCTCTTCTTGGACCGTAGTCATTGTCGTATGTCTATGTCAGGTTCCGCGTCCAAGGGCTGAAGGCGGCGCCTACAACACTATTCAGACTCTGCCACGCCCGGAATGGCCTAAAGCGCCCGTCCTGTCGTACCCTGATGGTACTTTCCTACAGCGCTGCAGGGCATGGTCCTTGGTACTGCATTTGACTTGAATGTCCTATCGTACCTTGTGCTCATCATTATGAAGGGGCAGGGTCTAATCGTCGGGCGAGGCAGACTCTGTCCTCGGCTATCGGGCAAGGCGGAGCCTATCCTCAGCCGTCGAGCGAGGCGGAGTCTGCCCTCGGATGTCGGGCGAGGCGGAGCCAGCCCTCAGGGGTCGGGCGAGGTGGAGCCTAGCCCTCGGGGGTCGGGCGAGGCAGAGCCAGCCCTTAGCTTTTGGGCGAGGCGGAGCCTAGCCCTCGGAGGTCAGGCGAGGCGGAACCAGTCTTCCGTCATTCAGTTAAGAAATGCAGTAGCGTTCCTGTCTGGTCGGAAGTGTCAATGTTCGATGGTCATTAGTTCCACCTCATTAGGTACCCCGGTATTAGGTCCCCGACAGGTCCCTTGCGGGTGAGTGCGCCAACATCGAGCGGCCTAGCCACGGCGCCCTTGGCCAGAGCTCTCACAAACCCTTCGAGCAACAGCAACTCGGCCTTCTTCTCACGCGCCAACAAAGCGGCAGTGCGGTGCAGCGCCAAGGTAATTCGTCTCCCAAGCCATTCCCCTTTCCCCTTCTTCTCTTTGATTGGATCTTGCTCTATTCTTCTCGGATCTAGTCCGATTGGGGTTTAGGGTTAGGGTCGGGTCAGGTTAGGGTTAGGGTTAGGGTTTGATGTGAAACCTCTTCTACTCTTTTCTTTAGTTGTTCTTCCCCTTCTAGGGTTGGGGTTAGGGGCACTTTACTTCGATCCAAATCGGATCTTTCTCATCTTTCTAATTGCTGCTACTACCCCAATCTAGATCTACACACTAGAGAAACCTGGCTCTGATACCATTGATAGTCATTTTTTGAACCTCTAGGTGCACATCAGTGGGTAAATTGCTGAACTTAGATAGGCTTGGAGATGTACCTCGCCCTAGGGCAGTTGCGGACATGGCGCCGTAGCAACATGACCGCCGGTGTCGTAGTGGTAGGGGAAGCGAAGACACGCCCACTAGGTCATTGTAGGTAGCAATGTGGGCGCGGTGCTGATGGCAGCGGCAAAGGCAGTGGGTCTTCCCGTCGTTGGTAGTATTGATACCCATTTCTTAAACATCTAGGTGCACATCAATGGGTAAATTGCTTAACTTAGATAGGCTTGGAGATGTACCTCGCCCTTGGGCAGTTGTGGACATGGCGCCGCAGCAACGTGACCGTCGGTGTCGTAGCAGTAGGGAAAGCAGAGACACGCCCACTAGGTTGTCATAGGTAGCAGTGCGGGCACGGTGCTGATGGTGGTGGCGAATGCAGTGGGTCTTCCCATCGCTGGCAGCACTGCTCCCTCTAGATCGGGTTAGGGTTTCTCTGTAGGTGGGTTGCGGCGGCTCAGTTCAACCTCATACCTTGTGCCCTGGCCCCACCTCCCTTTTATGGTGCTGTGCGATGGGGGCCCACCAACCATGGAGTGGTTGGGCACCCCCGATCAGGGCACGGATCCAAGGGCCCGCCAATTGGTGGAGATCAAACTAACACGTCTGGCACCTACTCTTGATCCACTTCTTGATGGGCGCATGGTCTTATGTCTGCCCGGTGGCCACCGTTATCGGGTCCATCATCAGCTCCAGCGTGATCAAGCACTGCAGCACCTCTAGGTTGAGGTTGAGGGTGAACCTCGGCGTCGAGAGCCTATTCACCGCCGTCGTGGCCGTGTCGGCCTTGCTGGAGGAATCATCAATGTGGTCGAACAAGACGACGTGGCGGTAGAGCAGGAACGCCATGAGGCTGATGATGAGCACGAGGTTGTTGTCGTTGTCGTCGCTGCTAGTCTCCAGGTGCTCCAATAGCTTGACCTCTAGGAACGTGGTCTCCTCAAAGGAGTCCTGCCAGGTGGCGAGGCCGACGCGGGCGAGCACGAGCCTAGCATCCTCGGTGTCGGGCGTGACGTCGGTCGCGAATCGTGCGAGCACCGAGCGCACACCCCACGCTACATGAACGTCCTCAGGGTCCGGCCATAGCCGCGCCATCGCGCGCCACGCGTGCTGGGAGACTAGCCCTGCAAGCTCATCGGCGTCGGCGTCCGTGGACGCTGCCCCGACGATGGCTTGCCCGTGCCCCGAAGGCAACAGCACGTCCATCGCCGTGGCGACGGAGCCTAGAATCACCCAGAGCTCGGAGGCATGCCCTCTTCCGGGCGCATTCGACGAGCAGCAGCGGTAGCTTCTGCAGCGCCACGTGCAGCTCCGAGAGCGCCAGCACGAGCATGGCTGGGGCTGCCTCGTCTAGAGGGACCGGGATGCCGTCGAGGAACGCGAGGAGCAGGCTGGTGATCCGGACGGCCTCGCGTGCCACGCCATGGAGCGCCAGGAGCGCGTCTAGGTCGGTGGCGGCGCGGAGTCCTATGACGTCCACGGCCAGGGAGAGCACCAACGCCAACAGCGGCACCGGCGCGATGGCCTCTCACGGGCAAACCACCGGCAGCGCCAGCATCCGCCGTCGGTGCGGCGGCGGTGGCACCATCTTCTCTGGGTGTCGGTCGGAGCAAACAAGCTGGCGGTGGCGGGGGGGGTGGAAATGGACGCACTGATGATGATTCCTCTCTGCGTCTCGTCTCGCCTACCTCTTGTCGTGGCGCCGGCCAAATTTGGAAGCGCGCCTACTTATAGGAGTGCGGACACACGTGTTGCCTCCACGGATCGGATGGGGCTGACGGATGGTTCCTGGATGGTGAGTTGTAGCTTCCCACACGCGCCAAATTTTATGAAGGCACGGAGGCAGAGCACCAACTAAGCAATGCGGTGTGCAAGTTTCATGTTTCTTGGGTCTATCTAGGCCTAACTAGAACGTTTTTTTGTCCATTCAATTTTTTATCCCACACAACGTGTTGAATCTTGGGGTTGTTCATTCATATCAGTGCTGGCCCTAGGGGTAGGGCATGAGGTGCGACGATCGAGGGCCCAAGCGAAGAAGGGGCCCAAGCCTAGGTATACAAAACCCTAGGTCCTATAATTCATTAGGCATTAGCAAACAAATGAGAAGAGAGACATAGAACTGACCAGGTGGCCCCAAAAGACAACATCGACATTTCTTTCCTAGTTTTCTTTCCCCACGGCCCTCGGGTAGAGAGGAGGCGAGGAGTCACGCTGCACACAACATACTCTGATCGTGAGTTCGCGACGTGCGCCTTACACACGCGGAGCTAGCAGGCCACGCCGCCGCGAAGACCTAGACTACCGGAAACATGGACACGACGCACGAGGATGGCGACCAGGCAGGGCTCCACGACGATGACATCTTAATTCTTGGCTTCTTACGAATTGCGATCACCGATCAGTTATTTAGACCCAAGGTATTTTTTTCCTTTTTTATTTTTAATCCAAATTAATTATTTGTATAGTATTCCAGACTTCTAGTACTTTGTACCCATATAGTCATATTTTTCTTCTAATTTGGGTGTTAGAATTCTAGAATGTTACCTAAGAAACATTTGTCATGGGTGAGAAAAGAAAACGAATATATTTGTTTTTTAATCTACATTGTTCCTCGATAATTATCATACATCTATAAATATATTGCTTAATCTACGTTATTCCTCGATAGTTATCAAACGTGTAAAATTAAAAATATGTTATTGAATTTGCTTTTATTTTGCAAGTAAAATTAGTGCCTATATATTATAAGATTTTATACATGATCAAGAAGCACCGTTGCGACGAGACCATCATAGGGCTAGGACCGGCACTGATTCATATATGATCTAGGTCTGGAGCAGTTAAAGGGAAAAAGAAAGGATGTTTTATAAGGCCCTCCACAACATGTAAGCGGTGTCTATAGAAAGGTTTCACAACAAAAACAAAGTATCGCACCGAAGGACCATAGTGTGACAAGGAAATGGAGGTCAAAACTATCTAAGAATCTGGAGCCCGGATAAAATAAAATAATCACTATCTCGCTTTGCCTGTGGTTGGCTGGATGCGCGTGACCATAAAAGGACCAGCGAAGAATTCATTGTTTATTAACTGGACACAGGTGGGTAATGGCATCGAACCAAGAACGTTCATGGCTCTATATTTACCTGGCTCCACTAGAAACTGGCATCAGCAACCGCCGTGAGAAGAGTAGTGCGAAAACCTTTTTTTTTTTTGGCGTCACTCCAGGCACACGATGTCCACATCCTAAAAAACCGAGCTTGGTTGTGTCTTTTTCTGGTTTGGAGCATCGTTTTATCCATTGCAGCTGCTGGCGCTAATTCAAAGAATGCAGGCATCGATCGAAGCTTCAATAGTTAAATAAGTAAAACATTAGTCCCTCGGGTCTAAATTATAAGACGTTTTGGCTTTCTAGATATGTTGCTTTACTATATATTTACACGGTGTATATCTAAGTGCATAGCAAGAGCTATGTACCTATAAGAGCTCGTGAGAGGATTGGAGTGATTTAGTGCATTGCATCTTGGTGATAGCATTTGGTGGCACTATGTGGTCTTTGTGACTCGGGATTTTTTGTTACTCTTGTTGATTGTCGTCATCAAGCTAGCTTGGTGCTTGTGGTGACCGTTGAGAAGACCTTGGTGATTGTTTGAAGTCTCCGGTCTTGGCTATTATAAGAGGCTTTGTGCTCATCCCTGCGGGAGAATCGCAAAGAGTAACTCTAGTGAAATCATATGATGTTTGGAGAGGTCCTTAGTGTTCTACCGGCTTCTAAGTGAAGTGGTGAACTTAAGATCCATCTCAACGGGGATATAAGTTGCCGGCAAGCAACCGAACCCCGAGGAAAAAATTCATTGAGTCACTTGCCCTCGTTGGTTCGCTCTCTCAACACTTGCAATTACATTCATAACTTGTTCGTGTGTTGTTGTTTGTCTAGTGTCGGTGATTTGTAAACCAGACTAGTAAATTTATACGATTGCTGCGCTGCTCTAGGAAGATGATGGTAGCATCCAAAAGACACGATGATTTATACTAGTTCAGGCTGGAACCCTACTTCCAATCTCAGAGATGATCGAGTGCATGTTCCTCGCTTAAATGCTCTGGAGTTCTTATAATGGGGGGTGCAAGAATGGTGGAAGAGGAAGAAGAGCTAGAGCTAGGAAATATACTGCCTGAAGAGAAGCTCTAGGAGCCCAACTACGATGGAGAATGAAGGGAATGGTAGAGGATGTGAATCTCCCCAAAGAGGGTGCCCTGGTTGCCCTTATATAGAGTTCGGGTCCAGGGCACATACAAAGCAGTAGGTTCTCCCGACCGAAGGGTCATGAGCCTAAGGGATGGCCTAGCTAATTTGGCTTGCAAGCTACGCCATCTTGGGATATACGTCCGGGCGTGGTTGTCATCATGGCCTTATGGTAACATCGCGGCATGGTGTGGCGTGGTGCTACTGTGCTGGCCGTGGCAGCACTGTAGGCACACTGGTGGTTCGCTAGCCATCCTGTGCGACGTGGTCTCTGTGGTGGTATTCATCATCGTCTCCTAGTTCCTTGGGGTGTCGTATGGGAGTTGGTAGCCACCCCCAGATCATCGATTGTCTTGTTGGCTTGAATAACTGGGAGCCACGACCCTAATCGTCGGGGTCAAGGTTCCCGCCAGTCTGGATGGCCTCTAAGTCAAGGCCTTTATCGTGTATCCCATCCCATAGTGGGTCGGATCGTACCCATGTCTTATCGGACCATATTTGGATGGTGGGCTCCATACCGATCGTCACTGTCGCGCAGTGTTGTCTTGTCTGTGCAGTATGGCACAAGGATGGCGTCTAACCAGACCGAGGTGACCGTTGTCGCCTCGGTCCTTGCTGGGTCAGTGTGGCGTGCCTGTTTTTGTCAGAGTGGGCATGTTTGGTTGGGCTTGACCTCTCTCCGCTCCTCCCAAAGGTCGGGACGGGGGAGAGGTTGTGCGCCTATCGAGTGTCGTGCGGCTAAGACAAGAGGAAGGGGTCATGGCTGACCCTAGCCTTGTCGCTTGGCCTGGTTCATTTGGCCTAGCTAGGCCACGGTCGTTCAGGCTTTCACCAGCTGATGTCTTGCGGGCCGCTTGGCCTGCTAACTAATCGGTGCCTTAAGACACCCCGAGGTTATAATGTGATAGAACCGCCTAATTTGTACAAGATCAAGTATTGTTGTCCCCGTTTAACACGTTGACATGCACATACTTTCCCTTATATAAATCCGGTAGTCCGCCGAGTGTCACGAAGGACCTCGGTAAATCCACATCACAACCAAGATCGCACGATTAAGCCAATACACATCATATACACATAGTTGCATCGGAAATAATATTACAAATGGGTTCACAAATAATAGTGCAAGTTTGAGTTATAAAACCGGTTAAGGGAAAACAACATAGCTTTCAAATTATGACATTAATATAAGTTCCAAATACATTGCTAGCATAAGTGACATCCTCCGACAAAAGCATAAAGATGAGAAATAAATATAGTCACCGAGCCCACCGGCGGTTAGCCACCATCTTCAGCAGGCCGAGAACTTCACCTGTAACATGGTGGGATAAACTCTGAGTACTCAAATGTACTCAGCTAGACTTACCCGTCATAAACCAAAATAAAGTGACACCAAGAATTATGCAAGACTTTATAAGTAGAGCTAGCTTGACAACATTCTACATAAAAAGCCACTAATTCAGCTATATATTTTATAATTCGGTCATCAAGTTAATTATAGCTATTCATCTCTAGATTAGCAGTTAACCTATGCCAAACATGTGGTATATCATTTAATAGCATACAGTAGTAACCATAGCCGGTGTATTAATTTGAGCATCATCATAACCATCAAGTTCCATCAATTAATGTTACGTTGCCGCTGCTTAATCAAGTTCTCACTATCCAGGGGAGACGGCGACTCGAATCGATTCCAACCAGCTGGGGAGTTATTCCTAACACAAACCCAGACATACCTGCGCCAAGATAGTCTTAGGTCACCTTTGATACAACTTAGGTCCAATTCGCGGGTTCGATCAGCGTCGCACAATCAGGGACAACCAGCTGCCATGACGATCAGGACTACCCTGCCCTTGGGCTCACGTCTGGCTCCCCGCACATCCTTACTACCATCCAGAGTGTGCACTCTTACAGAACGGGGGCCGACCTAAGTTGAGCTACTCGGCTTCACGGTCGGAACGAGTTA